CTCGACTCGTACTGTCAGCTATGCAGAGCCAGCCAACGCGCAGGCGCTGCCCTCGCGCCCTCGGCACGGCGGCTCGACGCCCCTCCGCCGGGCCTCGGGCACGCGAACGCAGCCTCGCGGCTGCGGCGGCGGCAGCCAAGCTGCTCGCCTCGACATGGCTCGGGCCGGCGCCAACGTGGCCGCCGCCATCGCCACCGTTCCGCCTTTCGCACCGTCTCACGATTCGCCCACCGACACGCTGCTCGCGCGTCGTCGTGTGTGGCGTCGAGCGGGCGCCCTCGCCGGCCGCCACGCTCCCTCCTAGCGCTGCCTCGCAGGCAGCGCCGAGCCTCGCGGGCACGTAGCCCCGCTCGGCGCTCTCGGCACGGCTTCCGCCGTCGCCTCGACTCGTACCGTCAGCTAGGCAGAGCCAGCCAACGCGCAGGCGCTGCCTTCGCGCCCTCGGCACGGCGGCTCGACGCCGCCCCTGCCGGGCCTCGGGCACGCGAACGCAGCCTTACGGCGGTGGCGGCGGCAGCCAAGCTGCTCGCCTCGACATGGCTCGGGCCGGCGCCATCGTGGCCGCCGCCATCGCCATCGTTCCGTCTTTCTCCTACCGTCTCACGATTCGCCCACCGACACGCTGCTCGCGCGTCGTCGTGTGTGGCGTCGAGCGGGCGCCCTCGCCAGCCGCCACGCTCCCCCCTAGCGCTGCCTCGCAGGCAGCGCCGCGCCTCGCGGGCACGTAGCCCCGCTCGGCGCTCTCGGCACGGCTTCCGCCGTCGCCTCGACTCGTACCGTCTGTTAGGCAGAGCCAGCCAACGCGCAGGCGCTGCCCTCGCGCCCTCGGCACGGCGGCTCGACGCCGCCCCTGCTGGGCCTCGGGCACGTGAACGCAGCCTCGCGGCTGCGGCGGCGGCAGCCAAGCTGCTCGCCTCGACATGGCTCGGGCCGGCGCCAACGTGGCCGCCGCCATCGCCATCGTTCCGCCTTTCGCACCGTCTCACGATTCGCCCACCGACACGCTGCTCGCGCGTCGTCGTGTGTGGCGTCGAGCGGGCGCCCTCGCCGGCCGCCACGCTCCCCCCTAGCGCTGCCTCGCAGGCAGCGCCGCGCCTCGCGGGCACGTAGCCCCGCTCGGCGCTCTCGGCACGGCTTCCGCCGTCGCCTCGACTCGTAGCGTCAATTAGGCAGCGCCAGCCAACGCGCAGGCGCTGCCTTCGCGCCCTCGGCACGGCGGCTCGACAACGCCCCTGCGGGGCCTCGGGCACGCGAACGCAGCCTCGCGGCCGCGGCGGCGGCAGCCAAGCTGCTCGCTTCGACATGGCTCGGGCCGGCGCCAACGTGGCCGCCGCCATCGCCATCTTTCCGCCTTTCTCCTACCGTCTCACGATTCGCCCACCGACACGCTGCTCGCGCGTCGTCGTGTGTGGCGTCGAGCGGGCGCCCTCGCCGGCCGCCACGCTCCCCCTAGCGCTGCATCGCAAGCAGCGCCGCGCCTCGCGGGCACGTAGCCCCGCTCGGCGCTCTCGGCACGGCTTCCGCCGTCGCCTCGACTCGTATCGTCAATTAGGCAGCGCCAGCCAACGCGCAGGCGCTGCCCTCGCGCCCTCGGCACGGCGGCTCGACAACGCCCCTGCGGGGCCTCGGGCACGCGAACGCAGCCTCGCGGCCGCGGCGGCGGCAGCCAAGCTGCTCGCTTCGACATGGCTCGGGCCGGCGCCATCGTGGCCGCCGCCATCGCCATCGTTCCGTCTTTCACCTGCCGTCTCACGACTCGCCCACCGACACGCCGCTCGCGCGTCGTCGTGTGTGGCGTCGAGCGGGCGCCCTCGCCGGCCGCCACGCTCCCCCCTAGCGCTGCCTCGCAGGCAGCGCCGAGCCTCGCGGGCATGTAGCCCCGCTCGGCGCTCTCAGCACGGCTTCCTGCTGTAGCTCCTCGCTCGCCTGCGACGCCTGTGGAGTGCGCTCGTATCGGTAGAGGAGCGGCAGTGCGAGACCCGCCGCTCCTCTACCTCACGACATGAGAAAGAAGCACGAACCTTCACCTTGTGAGACCGGCAGTGGAGAGCCCCTCCCGCCTTCCCGATCTACGGGCCGCCAGTGGCGATAACGGCCGCCGCTCGGCCTCGACGGACAACCCGAGTGAAGGCGAAACGCCATATCGCCGCGACGCCGCCGACGGCCGAGGACGAGTCCGAATGGGACCGTCACTCACTCAATTTGGGGATCCTCCACGCGCTGCGCTACGCTTCGGAGTCGCTCACCCCGGGATCGCTCCTTCCCTCGCTCCGGATTGGGGAAACTCTGAGCTCCCTCCGCGTACGCTACGCTCCCTTCGGAGAGAGCCCCAGAGTCTTACCGCGCTCCGGATCCTCTTTAGCCCATCTCTGAGAGTTAGAGTGACTGGCTAGAGACGACGACGACGATACAGTTCATGATAAACAAACTTTAGTTTGTGCTAGTGAACTGAGGAGAAGCGGGTCGAGCCTCGGCGCAGAGGGCAGCGCCTAGCGGGCGGGAACCCTTATCCCGCGCCCGCCGCTGCCCGCCGCTTTGTGCGCGGGACCTCCGAGCGCCACGAGGCTCCGACACAGCTCCGGACTAGCGTCGGCTCCTGCTCAGACAGGCGCCAACCTATCAGTTCTCAAAGCGACCCACCACCATCCCTCATCTACCGCCCGATCGAATCGCATTCGTCTCTTGCGAGTCCTCTTGCTCCAAGAGGTTCCAGAGAACGGGGAAACTCTGAGCTCCCTCCGCGTACGCTACGCTCCCTTCGGAGAGAGCCCCAGAGTCTTACCGCGCTCCGGATCCTCTTTAGCCAACCTCTGAGAGTTTGAGTGACTGGCTAGAGACGACGACGACGATACAGTTCAGTTAGTGAGCACTGAGACTGAGAGACCATGTCCACCCGTCCCGTCGGGCGGGGCCCCACCCCGACCGGCCAGCACGTACGTAGGCGGCACTGCGCCAGTACAAAACGAAGGACCTATGCCATTGTATGATTTACCAAATCTACCTTCGTGGTCTGTTTTCTGGGTTCCCAGGTACGATAGAAACTCAGCTAGCTCGATGGATGCGGCTCGGGGGGCCGCCCTAATCGATAAACACGAAAATTCTCCAAAATTACCATATTAGGCAACCAGCAGAAAAAAATCGGAGGTTTGGAGGTTCACTACTCGGTTCATACCTCGAATCTGCGCAAAGCAAACATATCCACGCACTCGTACAAGGATTGTGCGCAACATGGACACATTTGCAATGTGATCTGAGAAACTCAAAAAATCTCGATTTTTTGGTATGCTCTAGGACATCCTCCTCTTCCTCGACGTCGTGTTTTTCGACCTGTTACTTCGATCCTGCAGCTGTGTCTGCTGTTGTGTGTGGCTCGCCTGTCCTGTCTCGTGCATGCCTGACAGGTCGAGCGCCGGTGTTGACGCGTTGCAGTCAATGCATGGCGCCCCTAGCGTTTTGCACGAGTGTCGGTCACAGCAGCGCCCCATCTTTCTGCGTGTGTAGGACGCACACGCCTCGGCACGCACTCCCGTTCCTGCGCTAGCGCCCAGCTCTCCGTGTTCCCCGGCCCGGGGCGTGGCCGCCCGGTGGCCGTGCTCATGATTGGTTCCTCCTCTGTCTGACCGCCCGGGGCCGGCTCCTGGTTTTTTTTTCCTGTCGCCTACTTGCATCCGTTACCTACGCTCGTTCATCTATATTTGAGGGCCTCCCCCCCGAGCTTTCGCAGAGGATGGACGAGGTTATTGACCTGCGCTTCCGTCCGTCGTCATGGCGAACGATTAATGCTGCCGTTACCCGTTGGAAAGCCTTCTGTGAAGCGCGGGGATGGCCTCCCGTCCTCGTCACTGATTTCCCGGAGCGCGGGGGCAGGCTTGCTGCTTGGATCTTGTCTTTGGTGGACGACACGTCCTTAGTCTATGGGACTATCTCAGACTATGTGTGGGGGGTCCGGACGTGGCACGTTCACTTGCACGAGGCCGATCCGGCGTATGGAGTCATGCATTTTCAGGCGCTTATGCAGTCTGTCGCTGTTCTCACAGTCGTTGTAGGTGAGCCGCGGAAAATGGTGAAGCTCGAGACTTTGGAGGCAATTCTTGCAGACATTCGTGACAACCGGTGGGACTCGTTTCAGTGGGTACAGTTTGGGTTGGTGTCTCTCATCCAGCTCTTCTCCTTCTCCCGCTGCGAGTGTCCCTGTCCGGGTGCTTTCACCGGCCCCAGCTCCTTTGATGTCGTGAAGCATTGGCAGGTGAAGGACTTTTCGCTTGTTCGCCAGCTACTTTTCTGGGTACTGTATGCCCGCTATAAGTCCATAAAGCAGGACCCCCGGATGGAGCGTGCCTCGGCAGCCCATGCTGATCCCAATCTTCCGTTTGTAGATGGAGTTGCTCGTGTGGATTCATCCGTTTGTAGATGGAAACGGGGTCGGACCCCCCCCCTAGCATGTGGTGTGAGTAGAAGTGCGCCCCCCTCCCTGGAAGCGATGTCCGCCTGCTCCGGACGGACAGGGGCATTCAAAAGCGCGGATGCATGTGGGCGTCCTGGGCGGCTGGGCGGGCGTTCTCGGACTAGGGCATGTACACTCGCATTGTCCACCACTTTAAACCGCCGCACCTGGTTGGTTCTAGAGTTGTTAGGTTCTGTATGAGTGTCCAACCAAAACAAAAAGGACACACTTTGAGCACTTGAGCACTGGATAGGGTCGATTCCGCATGGTACGGGACCCCTCGATCGTCTCGCCCTCCCACACACTGATCATTGTGCGTGGTGCGTCCGCTCTGGCCTCTGCCTGGCGCCCCCTGGCCTCTCTCTCTACGACATGCATGTATAAAGTATGGGATGTGTGCGGCACGTGCGGGGGGTATACGCGAGTCGCGAGGCGCGAGACGCCGGCAGCGGAACCAATCAAATCACACAGTTGTATTGCAATCTTACCTTATATTTCCCCGTGTCCGGTTTTCCGCGTTTCAGCGGAGTCTGGCCGCCACCCAGCACGCATCTACATGGTGCCCCTCGGCAAGGAGCGCGCTCCGGCGCCGTCTACGACGTCGTCCGCCGCCGAGGACGCGGCGCCGGCGCAGCACTCGCGTAGGCGCGCCGGCGTCATCCGGCAGGCGCAGCCGGAGGCGCCTGGGCATCAGCTCGCCGCCTCGCACGCTGCTGCAGAGAAGCGCAAGGCCAACAAGATGACGCCGATGGAGCGCAGGGCGAAGCGCGCGGCCGACGAAAAGCGGCGCTGGCACGAGAAGCGCAAGGCGACGCGCGAGGCCGCCGCCAAGTTCAGCATGGCGAGCGAGGACACCGAGAAGGACCCCGCGATGGTGATTGCATCGCTGCTCGATGAGCTCGTGGCCGAGGTAGCCGAGGTGGCGGAAGTTCGCGACGAGGTGGATGAGGGTGAGCTTCAGGAGGAGCTGGAGAAGCTGCTCATTGCGCGTAGCGGCTCGCCGTTGCTCGAGGACACGGGCACACGCGAGGCCCTCGAGCTCGAGCTGCGCGCCGACGGCTACGGCGCGGCACGCGGCGACGACGGGCCGCAAGTCTACAGCCTGCCGTTCAACGAGCTGCAGCGGCGCGTGGCCGACAGCGAGGACGCGTGGCCGGGCGAGGCGCAGATAGCGTGGGATCAGCGCGCGATGCGCGAGCGGCTTGCACGCGGCGTGCCTCTCGGCGACTACCTCCAGGAGCTGCAGCAGCTGCTGAGCGACCCACCGCGCGATTTAATTGCCACCCACGAGCTCGCGAACTATGGCAGCAAGCCCACTGATTGGCGGCCACAGGGTAGAAACATCGCGCCGCCGCCACCGCCGCCGCCGCCGCCGCCGCCGCCGCCGCCAGCTGCGTTGCCGCCGCCGCCACCCGCCAATGACCCGTGCCGCTGCACAACATGCGGCCACATCCTACCTATTTGGAAGTGCAATGCTGGATGTGAATGCCTCTATTCTGACCGGGAGGCGCTGCAGCTGCACAAGGCCTATGATTGCTCGCCGGCGTGCACACCGCACTGGTCGCAATCACTGGTTAACGTGAAGTCCGGCTCCGTCGAGCCATGTGCGTATTGTGCCAAGTGCGCGGCCAGCCACTGCATCGGATTGGGCGCCTTCCCAGATCTGGAGACGCAGCAGCAGCAGCGCAGGCTCGAGCTCGAGGCGCAGCACAGGAGCGCAGGTACGCTGCCGCCGCCGCCGCCAACGACGAGTGGCAGCAACCGCCTCCTGCAGGCATTTGACGAGGGCGACATGCCGTACTATTACTACAAGGACACATCGCACACCCTCGCGTGCAAATACGAACTACTCGACACCAGTGTCGCCAATCCTGACTGGACGCGCGATCCGCCAGCCGATGTGGCTGTCACCGAGGGCAAATGGCCACCGGAGCGCTCCGAGTACGACCTCGGTGAGCACGGGCAGAAAGCATATCATCGGCACCGCGTGCGGTGGTACAGGGAGCACACATGCAAGGAGCTCACCGGCAGCCTTGAGGAGCAGAATGGCCAGTGGGACAACTACAAGCGCAACTTCCGCGCACGCGGCGATAGTGCTCCGCTCGAGAGGCGGCATGGCGGCATGTTATTGAACCACTCTGGGATGATTCAGAGTGATATGTGGAGATAAAAACTCCTTTATGCGCACAAAGTACCCTGCACAAAGATCGCACGGGCGACCTGTTCCTTTTTACCCGTCTCACAGTAGAGGTGTCCGTTTTTATTTACTTATGTCCTCCAACCTGGCTGCACACGGAGCACTAGACGCAGGCGAAGGCGTTCCCTTCAGTCAGTTACAACAAATTCACTCCCTGAGGAGGGAACCGACGGGAAGCAGACCGGAAAACAAACACGGCGCGCCAGATCTTAGATTTTCGCGGAAATTGCTTGGTAGGGTTTCTTAATGGGACGCTTTCTTAATGCCCGCAACAGACTGTAGTCAGAACGGACCCTAGTTGCCGTTCCTGCAAACTCAGGTAGGTAGGCAAACTCAGCTGCGGAACATCAAATCACAGGGTCCCGTACCATGCGGAATCGACCCTATCCAGTGCAAGTGCTATGTATGTATGTATGTAGTAAGGTGAAGAACAGTCAGGCTCGGACTGGACACCAACGCGGTATGGGTGGACGCAAGTGCTCAAGTGCTCAAAGTAAGAAAACACGCAGGCCGCCGCGACATCACGGCGCGGAACAACCTCCACGACGTTGCATATGAGCAAGCCGAGGCCCTCCTTCCGCAAGAAGGGCGTTTCGACGGCCATCGCCGACGAGGGCGCCGCAGCAGCGGCGCTGCGGCCCGCGCCCAAGGTGGCCCTCTCCTTTGACCCCGACGAGGAGGGCGCACCGATAAAGATCAAGAAGAAGAAGAAGAGGGCGCACCCGCCACCCGCTGCGCCGCCGCCGGTGGGCGATGCTGCGCCCGCGCTCGCCCCGGCGGCTGGCACCTACTCCTCCGGCTTCCTGCAGCAGCTACGCGACGCGCAGCGCACACGCACCGGCGACCCGGCCGAGCCGGCGGCGGCGGAGGAGGCGGCGGCCGGCGGGGGCGGGGGCGGCGCGAGCGTGGAGGAGATCCGCGCGGCGCGCGAGGCGCGGGAGCGGGCGCGCCGTGCCGGCGACGAGCGTGAGGGCGGGCAGAGCTTCCTCCCGCTCGATGACGCCGGCGAGGACGGGGGCGGCGCGTGGCGGGCGGCGCGGCTGCTAGAGGAGCTGCAGCCGGAGGAGGAGGAGGCGCGCAGCGGCGGCTCGGGCGGGCTGGTGCGCGAGGAGCAGTTCGACGAGGGCGGCGTCGACGAGATGGGCCGGCCCGGCGGCGGCCGCGTCACCTTTGGAGAGGCTCTGCGCCTAGAAGCGGAACAGGATTCGTGTGCTCCATCAAGCGCTCCTCCTCTTCATTCCGCCCCTCCTCTACATTCCGCCGTATTCCGCGGTATTCGAAGTATTCGTCGCCCTTGTGTTCACGCGCTGCTCTGAAGCCTCTGCACGAGGCCGTCTTCCCGCCCTGAGCTTGGCGCCTTCACCCCGTAGGCGGCGGGCCGGCGGAAGGGACGTGCGGGTGCGGTGCCGAGCGCCGTGTGGTAATGAATCAGATGCGATCTTCTGACCCTTGATCTGTGCCTTCCGACCCTTTCACATGAACATGCACATGCACATGTGGTCAACCGTCAACGCTACGACGCTATACTCAACCCACACACGACGCACCGAGAGAGGCGCACTCACAATTCACCGCACCTCTCGCACCTCCAGGCGCTCTTCCGTGTCGGGTTGTGACGAGGGGTGAGGGGACACGGATTGAAGATCCCTCACACCAAGATCGTGCAGGGCGGGGACACACGTCCCTAAATCCCATCTCGTCTCAGAGTTTGACCGTTTGTATTTATTTATTTATTCCAGGCGGGGGACCGACGCGAGGCACGGCGTGACGGTGGTGGAGGCGGGCGACGACGACGAGGAGGAGGAGGTGGGGGCAGGGCTGGTGGGAGGCCGCTCCCCCGCGTCTGCCGGCGGGGGCGCCCCACCGCTGAGCAGCGAGGCGCTCGCCGCCGTCGCGGCGCGGCTCGCGGCGACGAGCTTTGTCGCCGCCACCGACGAGCGGCTGGGCGGGCAGGCATCTCCACACCCCCGTTCGCCACCACCTCCCTCTCCACCACCCCCCTCCCCCCCTCCCCCTTACCCGCCTCCTCCCTCTCCACCACCTCCCTCTCCACCACCCCTTTCGCCGGCAGGCTGCGGCGCTGCGGGCGACGCTCTCGCAGCAGCGCGAGGAGCGCGACACAGCGCAGGAGCGACTCGCGCAGTGCGCCGCCGACGCGGCGGCGCTCGAGGGCGCGCTGGCGCGAGAGGCGGCATCCTTTGAGCAGCTGCAGGCGGGCGGGCGCTCTGCCCACTCACGCAACACCACGGCCCCGGAACCGGAATCGCACGACAGCAGCACAGTGACAGTCAGACTCGTAGCACGGGGTCCCACGGACAGAAGAGCACGACCGCGGGCCAAAGGTCACACACACGGACCGTCGAGAACGGACGGGCAGCGACGACAGCCAGTCAGAGGGCAGCACCGGGTCCCAGGAAGGCGAACGCGAGAGGCGGGCGTGTGTGCGCCGCCTTTTCACAACGCACCCACGCCGCATGATGCGTCCGCGACACGACACCGTGACACGCCACGCCCCCACAGGCGGCGCGCTTGTTCACCGCCGACCTGCTCGACTGCCTCGACGCGAAGGCCCCCGCCACCGACGCCCTCGAGGCGCGGCTGTGCGAGGCGGTCGAGGCGGCGGCCGCCCGCCGCGCCGCCGCCCGGCTGGCGGTGAGTGCCGCGGCGGCGGAGCGAGCGGTGCGCGTGCTCGGCGGCAAGTGGGCACCGCCGCCGCGCCGCACGCGCGCCCCTCCGCTACCGCCGGTCGCGGGGCCAGAGGCGGAGGCGATGCTGGCGGCGGTCGAGGCGGCACGGGCGACGCGCCGCCGCGCCGCCGCGCCGGGCGGCGGCGACGCGCCGTCGGGTGGCGACGCGCCGTCGCCGGACGGGTGGTCGAGCGGCGAGGAGGAGGCGGAGCTGGAGGGAGCGGCGAGCGCGGCCGGCTCGGGGGGCGGCGGGTGGGCGGCGAGGCTGGCGGCGGAGCTGGGCGCGGTGGAGGCGGCGTCGCGCGACCTGCTCTCAGACGCCGACTCTGAGGTGCTCGATCCCGCAGCCACCCGCCGCCGGCTCGAAGCCCCCCTCCCCCCCTGGGAGGCACACCCACCCACCCACCCACCCACTCATTTCGGGGGAGAGAGGCCCACCACAACTCACCACACACACACACACACACACACACACACACACACAC